CCTATCGTATCGGACAAACACAACTAAATGTTTTCCCATAGACTTCCATACAAACTTGAGCCCCTGTCACTCATACATATATTGAATTTCGGGCAAATGGCCTTTTTGTCGTGAAAGTTCGAGATATTGGAAAACAAAACATGACAGAAAAAATACCGTCACGCGGCACTTTTACTTTCAATTTCCACTTGTTTACAACAAGGTGCGTTTGACACCAAATGAAAATCTCTAACCAAAGGGCACCCCTCCTTTCAAATTGTTACCTGTAACTCCTACATATCTCAAAGAAACCCAAGTCTTGATATTACATTTTTATCAACTTTATTTCACTTGTCAAATACATATCAAGTCTTTTCTCTTATTGACCAATCACGCGCCAGCGTAGCATTTTCTCCTCCGCACAACTTTGGGTGTCCAAAATGTCTGCGCCCATGTATTTGTTTATGTAGGGGTTTTTCCTATCGTATTTTCCATTTATCGTGTTTTGCGTTTTCTATCGTGTTTTGCGTTTATCGTGTAGATCGTTTATCAGGTTCTATCGTTTATCGTGTTTTGCGTTTATCGTGTTTATTCGGAAACCCTCGCTTTTTATCTTTACTTCAGGAAGAAACAACTGAAGTATTCCGAGTTTCTTTTTCGTTTTGTTAACTAAAATAAGATAATTTTAACCAAGAAAAAAAAAAGAACGTTTCATCACATAGTTTTTCATCATTAAGAGAAATATTAAAGATTTTCTTAAATTAGTCAGAGTCATTAGAGAAGGATTTTCGGTACGGCACGGTGTATACGTCCCCCCCCCCCCTCCTCCCAGAAAAATTATAATAATAATTATCAGGGGATTGATATGTATATTTTTCTTTTTTAAATGCAATATTCATTTTCTCCCGATCAATCGTCTGGAACTATTAGAAATGTGTTTTTGTCTCTGATCTGCATGTATGCATAATTATTTGAAATCTTGATTTAAAAGAAATAATAACGAAGCATTTAAGAAATTGATAGAGATAACTTTAACTCTGATTTTATCCGTAAAGGCTCAATTTTTTAAATTTATTTATTTCATTAATTCATTAATTTTATCTGGCATTAGATAATGTAAAAAAAAAACATACAGGAAAAAACATGATGTCTTATAACAGCCTACCTTTTCGGCGTGGAAATAAACTGGAAATATAATGCACCTGAAGAGCCTTCCTTTGCCAGAAAACTGACACTTCTGTGTACCTCTCTAATCAGCACACTGCCTTCCTGTGCGGTCAACACCCCCTCCCCCTTCTCCCCTATCCCCCTAAATGACAGCTCGGCCCATGTGTGTTCACCGTCAACATAGCTGAACTGCTCTCTCTTCTGTCAAACAGTATATATTTTCGGGATTCTGTTCATAACTTGTGTGAACTACACTCATACAATATTTTTTCTAAATCAATTAAATAATTTTACAATTTATTGATTTAAAAAAATCATTTCCTTGCTTTAATATAAACAAAAAATCATATAAATCAATTTTTATGAATCAAAGTTCCTCAACTCAATCCGCTGATTAATTTTATTTGTACCATGTTTCCTTAATGTTTATGTAAATACGTCTTTTAATAAACTTTCAAAAAAAAACTGCAATTATTGTACATCAACTTCGAATCATCGGGTTTTCTTTCGGATCACCGGGTTTTCATCGGGTTACAGTCAGAATTAATTCTAAAGGAAACAATTTCTTTGATCGTAGATTGATTGATTGATTGTATACTGTTTAACGTCCCTCTCCAGAATATTTCATTAATATGGAGACGTCAAAAAAGATTGAAATAATTCTAATACTCTAGAATATGAAAATTTGCTTGCATTGATTTTTTTTACGGTATTTCACTATAATAATAAAAAAGAAGTGACTGTGTGATTCCGCAGTGACCATGCAAGATGGGTAAATATTTTGCACCGAATCAATTTAAAGTATTAATCGATTTCATTCCATACGTATATAACTTTATTTTAGAGGTCAATAATTATTATTTTAGGCTATTTGGTTCGATCATTTTTATCTAATTTCAATTTGCACGGTTACGGACTTTCAGTGTGAAATCAACCGCCCTTCGAATTCTTATATGAGATTACTGGGTAAATCTAAAATAATTTTCAGGGTTTAATAACAGTACACACAAAGTTTAATAGCAATGATTTATAATTATTTAGTCGGAAAAGTCGAATTTCACTCTTTTAATATTTGTTTTTAATTTTTGTGGTTTGTATTTTAAGAAAAAAAAATATTCTATCATTCAATGTTCGTTAATTAATACGAGGTTTTAATTATATAATATATAAATGTTTACAAATACATATGTGAGAGCTCAGCGTAACGTACATGTACACTGTACATGTGCAGTTGTAGCAGATTCATATTCTGTTGACACGCTTTACAGGTATTGATGCAGAGCGCCATTATATTAACAATTATTTAGATTTTTACTCAGGAAATTAATTTTCTTGAACTATATACAATGTAGTTCTTTAAAGCCGATTTCTTTGAACCTTTCTTTCAGCCGGTCTTCTACATGTATTTTTTCCCTAAGATTTTGATATTTAATTGCGATTTTTGGATAAAGCGCAGATTGTAAGCTTTAGACATTAAATACAAATATTTAATTTATTGCGTAAATTTCTTCCGTGAAATAACTTATTACTTTTTTTTAGTAGTTTAGTAGTTTTTTAGGTACAAATATATATTTTTTCATAAATAATAAATCAATATATAGAGTTTTATAAATTTATAATAGTACCCGTGAGAAACGGCACGTAATTATGTAAGGGATTGTTGTGCAACAACTACATTTACGTTAAAATATCCACAATTAAACGAGTCATAGTTCAACCTTAAGATGGGAATTTCAACATTCACACAAATAATCGTAAATTCACACCCTTGAGTAGAAATTAAAAAAATTACAGTCTCCATTTCATATTATCCATATATTCACTGTCAAAAAAATATATAAAAATAAACAACTTTTGTAAAATTACCAGTGATCTCAATTTTTAAAATTAAAAAAATTAAATGTACTTTATAATTTAGATTTGAAGCTTTGCAAGTATTTAAATGAAAATATTGCAGTATCTAAATAAAATAATCTTTTCGTCTTGTCAGAAAACGTTCCGCATTTTGAAACAATCTTATCAGGTTTTGCGTTTATCCTATCGTGAAGATCGTTTATCAGGTCTATCGTGTTTTGCGTGTATCGTGTTTTGCGTTTATCTTATCGTGCGTGTATCCTATCATGTCGTGCGTGTATTCTATCGTATCGTGTATCCTGTAAAGAATAACGAAGCGGGTACTGTAAAGTTAGTGAATAACTTGATATCACATATTCCGTGTTCCGTTTCCGTTCCATGTTTTAGTAACAACCATTTTTTAAAATACAGATATAGCTGTTTTCACGAAAACAATTTGAAACGTACGTCTCACTACAACTTCCCTTTTCCCTATAAAAACATACATTAACATTTTCTCTCTCTCTCTCTCTCTCTCTCTCTCTCTCTCTCTCTCTCTCTCTCTCTCTCTCTCTCTCTCTCTCTGATCACAGGGTAGTTCAAGAAAATGTGCTAAAAATAAATTAAATTGAAGGAAGTTCAACATTTTAATCAGATGTCTTTTTGACTGATTGTTACTTAAAACACGGTTGGATTAATATAACTGGTTGCAAGATTTCAAGATAAGGGAAAAGAAGAAAAGCGTGTGGGGTATTTTTCTTTGTTCATTAATTGACTAATTATCACAAAGAAAAATGAGTTAACCTATTTCACCTTTCAGAGTAGACAATTAACTAGTCCAGGGATGCTTTGACGGTGTAAAGACGAATATTAACCCCATCAAATAATAACAGGGGGTCATTTTCAACGACAAATAATGAACCCCTAGCCCCAAAGGTCATTATGTTATATGCAAGTCTTATAAATAATTGACCCCCTTGAAAGATGTTCCATTTTGGGGTAATACAAAATACAGATAAAAAGTAAAAATATACTGCATATATGTATTATGATAATCGTTCTTCCTTTGAAATAACAGACGGACGGGCGTACAGACAGACGGACAGACACACCTATCATCAATACCCTTCCACTTTCCTGTTAGATCAAAAAGTAAAATAGCAGGTGCATTTAGACATTATTTAATAAAGCATGTGATTTAATTTTATTATGTAGTTTTTGAGGAGTAATGGATAAGAGATGGCTACTCTTCAATATCATAGAAAGAATGGCAATGTCCATGTTTTACTATGTGAAATCCAAATTTTGTGCCCGTTCAAAAGGTCAAATTTGGATTCTGCAAAGCGTAACAGATGGACATCCCGATCACTGTATACCCTCCTGCATTTGAAACTGTGGGTATTATATATAATTTTGCAGCAATTTTCTGTCACTATGATGATTTTCCACCATCGAAAACCAAGGTTCAGCTGGCTCTTTGGGCTCGATAAATCTTTTACTCCTTTAGATTCATAATCATCGCATTTACATCAAAATAGATATAATTGTACAATAAACTAATCATTTTATAAGATCCTTTTTGTAATATTTCCTTCTACATATCTAAATATTATACATCTGTCTGATGCAATAAGCATCAACTTGAATTTTGATAACTCACAGTTGTATGTTTATTTCTTGAAACTCTTCCTTGTAATGCGTATTTTGGCACATATTGAGGATGTCAAATTAAAAAGAGAAAAACTAGGTTTTTATGGAAAATGATGGCATCATTTTCGTACATGGAAAATTTGGCAAGATATGTTTTAATTTGCCATTTGACTTTAACATATTTTTATCTTTTTCATGAGAGTCCTCGAAGGTATGATTTGATGCTTTTGTCCATGTGCAGTTTAAATTATCTAAAGACACGTAGTTCAAATTAAACTTTATGTCTAATTAAAAAAGCTTTATTGTATTTGACCATTAAAGCCGTTTAAAACATGTATTTGAGAAAATATATAATATATATTCCTCATTTTAAGGAAAAATACAACTGTTTATGCGGCAGTTATTAAAGGTAAGTAACAAATTAAAATCTGACAATATTTCTATGACTGTCCGATCTTGTATATATTTTGTACATGTATATTTATTATAATCTTGTGATTTATAAACTGCTTTAAAGGCTGCAAACACCAAACACTCATTCCTATATAATATCATGTCGGGTTATATTGGAAATACATGAAATACAAGTATTCTAGTATCTTTTACAAATATCTTGTAATGTGCCTACATTTTTAAGATACGTTGTAAAGTAGCAATACTTCAATCAGACGTTCAGAAAAAAACTTAGTAACTTGAGAACCGTTTCGATTGGCTTTTCTTGTCAACAGAAAAAATAATCCTCGCTCCCCAAATATCTACGCTCGGAAAGTCGTTGTTTCGAACCATTTCTTATTCGTGCCAACACCTGCCATTACCGGGACCTCGGTTTTTAAGGTCTCATCCGAAGCATTTGTAATTTTCACTTCAAAGTGCCGAGCGCATGGCGAATAAACAGTTTCTACCTATTATTTATCTACCTCGACTTTGGCTGGTCAGGGAAGTCACGTCCTCTCGATCAGGCAGAGAGTGCTCTACCGACTGAGCTACCGTGAACGTTTCTCTTTGTGAGAGAAAAATTCTCTAATTGGACCTAAAACAGCGAACAATCCATCAATCAATCACTCGTCAAGCATGTCATTATGTTCAGGCATGATGTTCTGTTAATCATTCGATTTTGTTGCATTCTGTGCAGTGATTACTCTTTTTCAATTATTATTTGTTAGATTGTGGCCCTGGTTTAATAGGACGAGATTGTGATATTCCTTGTCCTTATCCAGGGTTTGGGAAAGGATGCCAGGAAACATGTAATTGCGGAGTGGAATATTGTGATAGGGAACATGGATGCCAAGGTAAGTTTGTACAACAATGCGTAATCCAAAGTCAAGAAAAAGTTTTTAAGGCTGATATCAACACAATTATTGGTGGCTTTATTAATACTGCTGGTCATTGACATCAAACGTCGCTTGAATTTTGAAACAACGGGACCTTAAAATATAAACACGTATTAAAATGTTGAATAAATGGTTAATTTACTTGTTCTGTAAACTTTGTTGTATTTTTATTTATTGCATACTATTTTGTAGATGGTTCTCAAACTCTTTCTCCGGCAGCAATAACAGGCACCAGTAAGCTGTATTTCAAAACAAGGAATATTTCCAGTAAACATTCATTTTTTAAAAAATGCTTCTATATATTTCTAGCTATAATTTTTTTAATCCAATTTCAAGATATGTATTTAAGTTTTATAAGCTTTAAGATCACAAGAAATGATAAAGTTAAAAATATTACCACTTCATTTTATTCAAAATATTATAATCTACTTACAAAAATATTTAGAACTTGTAAACACAATATGTCTGACTTCATAACAAAGGTCCCGGTGTAACACTACAAATTTATGCCTGTTATTTTTTTAGTATGTCAAACTGGGTTCTTTGGAATCAAATGTGAAGATAAATGTCGATACCCAAGTTATGGCCACAATTGTCAACAACAATGTTTGTGCAGAGAGGACCTGTGCAATCATGTCTCTGGATGTCTAACAAATGGTAAGTACACATAATTTCACATAAGAAAGACTTAAATGTTAATATCTTACATGCACTGAAACACATTGTCGAATGAGTATTTAAGCAGAACAGTCACCTCCGATGTTGGATCACGCAACTGTTTCTTCGACTAAGTATAAGTTATCAAAATATTACATTAAAAATTATATAAACAAACCTTTCATATGCTACTTTAATATTTTTTTAAATATGGTTCTATAAATTTCAAGCTAAATATCTATTGAAACCTGACCTTAAGATTGTACTTTTAGAAAATAAATTAAAAGCTAGATAATCACAGCTGCAGACAACGATCAAGTTTAAAATATTTATAACAACTTCAAGTTATTCAAGAGATTATATTTTAAAAAATATCAACATGTACAACTTGTAAATAAAACATGTCTCACTTTATAACAAGTATTACTTTTTTTGAGTTGATAAGGCCCCGGCAGAATTTAACACCATTTATTAATGTATTTTGTTTTTTCAAGTATGTGAACATGGGTTCATTGGTATCACATGTGAAAATAAATGTCGATACCCAAGTTATGGTCGCAATTGCGAGCATCAATGTTTGTGCAGAGAGGTCCTGTGCAATCATGTCTCTGGATGTCAAACAAATGGTAAGTACACATAATTTCACATTATAAAACACTTAAATCTTAATATCTTACTTAAACAGATTGTCAAATGCGTATTAAAAGGGCATGGACACAGTTTAAGCTAAAATATATTTTTTTCCATTTGTACAAATATTTTACAAGGGTCTTTCTGATGATCATCAAAAAAATATCACGTTTTGTTTCCATAGGTTACTATACTAATATATGTTAGTTCAAAGTCTATGATTTCAATACTTTTTTTTAAACGATTCGACAGTTTCTACTAATTTACTGAATGTCTATGTGTTATAAATAGGATATTTTCTGTATGTAATGAACAAAAACAAGACACGAGTCTTGTTTACATTATGAAGAACTTTAAGTTCTGTATCTTATTTGTTAATCGACAAGTGATGTTCAATTTTTCTAAACATTAAAATTGGTTTTAAAAATTCAATTGAAATTTTACCATGTCCCTTTAAAGCAGAACAACCACCTCCGATGTTAGTACACACAGTTGGTTCTGACTCATCATAATCAGCCTATTTATCTGAAGTTCGATGTGATTTAGAAATTATTCATATAATAAGTCAAATTGAAAAAGGATGAGTTTGTTATTTTATCAATTGAGGTTTAATGTTTCATATGCAGTCGCTAATGGTTTATATAGCTATATAAGTAAACTTAGTTTTGAAACCGTTTAGTCGGTTGTTAGGTAGTGTAAAAGGTGGAATTAACAAAAAGTGATCGTTCTTTTAAAACAACCTATATTAACAATACAAATTACTACGGAAATTTTCGATCTGGTTGCGTGCCAATGGAAACTAAGTGTACAAAATTGTCAGAAGTTGTTTTCGATCGTTTATTAGGAAGAATCGAATTCATTTTGTTAAAGATCTACAAAAAAATTGTTTCCCCTGAATTCGACACTTATTTTTAATGATGATGACTGAACAATGAACAATAGTTAGTTTCATTAATTAATGGTTGATTTTTTTTTATAAACCAAGTTAAATAAATAGAAATGTACATAAATCAGGCTGTAAAATGATTAAGTTTTATTCCCATTATGTCTAAAGAATTTGGCTATTTTTACGTTTTTAAACTGAGTTTAATAAAATAACTAGTTTACAAAACAAGAATAAAAAAAAACAAAATTCTTAAATTGATGTCTATTAAATTTATGTTCATTGATATATTTCAAACACAGATGTGAACACTGGTAAGAATAGCCTTAATACTACCTCTGGAGCTATTGGATTCACTAAATTTGATACTGTTTTGACTACAGGTAAGCCTTAAAAATACGTTACATACTTTTTACATTGTTGTTGCAAAATAAAAGTATATTACTTAATAATAAGTATTAAGTACAAAAATCAATAAGTAAAAGCAAATCTTGTAAATATAAATCAATCGTAATCAACATACCAAAAAGATTTGTACATGTCTTTCTTTTCAGTACATAATGTATGTTTATAACGTTGCAAAATCACATTATAAAAAAAGTTTCTATATAATTATTTTCATTGAAAACACGATGCATACAATGTAATAATTGAACTTAATGACAAATAAAAAACATCCATTTTGTCTTGCATATATACTAAGTACTGTAAACCAAGTATTATACGCGTGCGATAAATATCCGCGAGTTCCGCGAGTAACCTCTGCTCTCGGATATTTATCGTCGCAAACCAGTTGTTCATTATATTCCCATATCATTGTCTGACGTCACGGCGTCAGACAGTACTAGATTTAACCAGGGCTTATTTATGCAGTCGTTCCATGAAATTGTTTAGATAGTTCGATGGTGGAAATTTCGATACATGCATAATCTCCAAAAACGCATATAGTTCGTTCCAGGAGGAAATGAGCTTTTATTTACATTACTGAATGATCTTGTCTTTAGTATAATTCGTGCTTTCATCTTTGAACGACCGCTTCAGTTCTCTATAAAAAAAAATGCCTGATTTTATAAATCTCACTGCTTGTGTTGTGTTTCAAAGATTAAGTCATTTTACATGGTATGGTAAAATAATTGATTGCTCACTTTCAGTAAAATTATACCTTGACATTGAATTACTAGTACCTAAACATCAGGCACGTGGTCAAATATTTTCCTTAGTTGCCCTGCTCCAAGTATTGTAAAAACTGATAATACGGTGCCTGAGAAAAATGCAGTGAAAAGAGAGAAAAATGTCTTATTCAAGTTCGCTTTTAATTCTTTATTGTGTAAATAAATTTGTATGTTGCTGATCCGTATCCAACGATCTTCTTGTTTCTTTTCCCAGATGCTTCAGTTCAGAATTTCATCTATCAATTACGTAACAGTGTTAGGTAGAGAATCATTGTACATCAAATTGTTTGAGAAGCAATGAAAGCTTTCAAGAACAGCAGGGGAATGGTCAGCATGTGTAAAACGCTCTGTCAAGATTGTTATCGCCAGGGATAGGGTTATAAGCGCCCCTTAAGTGATCAAAGATCTTCCCATTGATTTCATCATTTACAACCTTCATTTTATTCTGTTAGTTCAATAAAAAATCAGTTAGGTCATTTAACATATAAAACATTACTTGAAAAATGCTGACCCGGGATCTTGAAACATCTTAAGCCTAAGTCGATCAAAATCTTTATTATAACCCCCCCCCCCCCCCAGCTTAAAAACTGGGAGGGTAGAAAGTAATCGGTATGTCCATCCGTCCCTCTGTTATGCTTTGGGGTACCCATCTCTTATCCGCAACTCCTCTCATACCACTGAAGGAAATTTAATGAAACTTTCACAGAATCTTTATTACATATATTGCCATTGTGCACTTCCTATTTTACTTTTTGATCTGACATATATTTTGTATTTTCCACAGCAAAACATGGATACTGCCATTATATTCATATGGGAGGCGGGGGTATTATTTAGTGAGCTCATTGTTCACAGTACCTCTAGTCTTATAATCAAATGTTGTAAAAGTCAAGCAGACCAGAAGGGTTAGGGTTGGGGATATTTAAACATTGTTTCACAGAGATGTTGTTATGTGCAAATGAAGAAATAAATTCCATAATTAATAAATATTTTATCGGCGATTAAAAATTTCACTTAAGTCTTCGTTTGTTTCATGATCCTGGAGCCAGGAGCTTCAATTTAAAAGATATATTTTCGAATGAAAGAAATTATACAACTGAATTTATTATTTCTTTCCGTTTTATGAATTTAAGCAAACAACGTCAGACAAGCTTTTTAGGAAAGCTAATACTTGTGATTTATTTAGAGTTATTTGCCCTTTTTTCAATACCGATCCCGACGGTTCAACAAGTAATCACGGAAAAACTTTACTGTTAGTGTACAAGAAGCAGTTATAATTTAATTACAAACATTCAGAAAAAATAAAAACGAAAGGCAAATCTAAAACTATTTGTCTAAAAATGATTAAAATGTCAAGAATCATTTCAGCTTGTGTTATTATTGTTCATTTATTGTTACAGACGAAGTCAGAGATAGCCTGGTTAATTACGGCTAATTATGGTCCAGTCCTGCTCTGTCCAAACAATTTATAATAATTGCCCTTTGGCTGTGTAGATCTTAGAAAGCGTCGATTACCCAATTAGTATGAGGAGCTTTTACAATTCTGAGTTTTAAATCAATTTTAATCTCCTAGATTTTTTTCCGATTTTCGTTTGAGCGTTGTGAAAATGCGTATGAAGTATACTCATGGTAAACATTTTATCTACTTTAGGGGCGGATATAAGATTTTAAATGGACGCAATGCATAGAATGTCTTGAATAATGCGTAAGCAGACCTCACGCTACCATTTTACCTAGTTTATGGGCGGATATAAAATTTTTATTTGATTCAAAAATACTCGTGGAAATAAAAAAAAATGTGACCACTCGTTCGCGGAAATAAATCGTCGCGGATAAGTTCTCTGGCGGTCAGTCGCGAATAAAAAATGACGCGTATAATAATTGGTTTACAGTACTTGACAGTAAACTTTTTTTTCGTCATCTTTTGAAGTAATTCTTATATTTTTATTGAAATTTTAAAACAAATCACCAAAAAAACCTTTGGAGAAAGGGAATGTGTTTCAAAAGTATTATACGAATGATAAATACAATATCATAAAATTGAAGTTTTTTTTTCAAGAACGTACACAGGGCTATGAATTTTCACCCGTTTTGAACATATCAATTCTTTACAAATAGAAGCAAAAAAATATCTGATTTGCTTCTGACTGTACTTTGTTTTTATGAAATTTAATGAGATATTGAAAAACCATCACGTAGCCTTAATTTCATTGTTCAATTATTGTTCAAAAATCCGAAACACTTTGACTATTATTGCACATGTAGGATTCAACAAAACGTTTGTTTCGTAGTGAGAAGTTTTATGGTTT